ATATATATATATATATATATATTTCTCTATGCACGTGGGTACTGCAGTTGTGGATCCTCTCCTAATGCCTGCCGCACGGGCGCAAAGAAGGGATGTGCCATCGCCTCTGCTGCCATGATCCGCTCCTGATGGTCCACGCGCAGCAGTCGATCCAACAAATCCAACGCCGTCGCATCACACCACGGGGCAGTCGCGGCCGTTACAAACGCGGCCCACGGCTGCCGCGGCCGACGAGATAAAACGCCACGTTCTAACAGAGATCGTGGGAGATGAATATTATATTTCGCGATATATCGTGAGAGGGCATCTGTGCCAAGAACCTCCACAATTTGTCGAAGTTGATCCTCATTATCATCACCGCGGAAAAAGGGAAGAACATGAAAAAGCATCTCTGCCAGAATACAGCCAACACTCCACATATCGAGAGAGTAATCATACAGGCGAAGACCAACAAGAAGTTCAGGTCCTTTAAAGTGACGGGTCCCAACACAAACATTATAAGCCTGACCATGAATATAATACTCCGCCAATCCCCAATCTACAATACGAAGTTTACGACGACGATGATCAATAATAATATTTTGTGGTTTAATATCACGATGAAAGATACCACGACTGTGGGCAAAGTGAAGACAACGTAAGACTTCATAAAGATAATATCGCATATCAAAATTACTTAATTGACCTCCTTTTAATAAAGTACGAAAAGTATCTGCAGGTTCAATATTCTCCGTCACCAACACTGGGGTACTATCAGAGGGCACCATCACCACATCCAATAAACGTACCACATTAGGACCACCACAGAGATTTTGTAAAACTGTAATTTCACGACGGATTTTCTTCAGACGAACAGGTTTAAGAATCTTCAATACACACATTTCACGATTGTAGCGATTACGGGAACGAAATACCTCGGAATACTTCCCACGACCAATTTTTTGTATTAACTCATATGGATCACAACTACTAAACTCTATTTTAGCATTTTCATAGTCCCAATAGGAGGAAGGCATATTGTTGTTAACGAACCAGAAAGGATGGCGGTACTCTTGATCGCGTGAGCGTCTATCACCCACTTCACTAATGCTACTATTGTTATTATTAGCACTGGTGCTGTTGTTGTTATTATTATTATTATTATTGTTGTTGTTGTCATTGTTACTTGAACTGACTCCTTTTAGTGTATCAGTTCTGCCAATGGTGGTGGTGGTAGTGGTGTCGTTAGTAATAGAAGTAGTAGTGCCATGCATATGCATTGCAGCGTCAGTGGGGGGTAGGCAATGCCGTGCTAAGAATACTATTGCTAATAACAATAATTGCTTTTCATATAGACAGAGAGAAATAGAGAGAGAAAGAAAGAAAAGAAAAAGAATAATACACTAAAAAAGAGAGTGAATGAATGAATATATTTCCCAGAAATATATATATATATATATATATATATATATATGAATAGTAGGTTGTGTGTGGATTTTGTGTGGATGTGTCTGTCACAATGATCACATTCCCGAGCAAAAATACTCTCAAACAAACAAACAAACAAAAAAGAAAAAAAAACGATAAGGTATTCAAATGAAGGGAAAAAAAAGTGTCTTAAAAGTCATAATAACGACATCTTCAAATCCACATAAAATCGTTGAAAACCAAAAAATAAGAACAACGGGATAGATAAATAAATAGATAGAGAGAGATAGAGAGTTACCCTCTTTTTCACTATTACAATCTCATCTCTTCTGTTTAGAAACCCTTCTCCTCATCAAATTCATCCTCTTCTTCTTCTTCTTCCTCCTCTATTTCATCCCCATATTCATCAACTTCATTATTCTGCAGGACATCACTACTCTGCTGGCGAAGTGTATCGTAGGGACTGGCATATACATCCGGAAGAAGAAGTGTTTCTACAAGTCTGCTAGTATCTTCATCTCCACGAAATTCCAGACTTTGCAATCGCTCAATCTCTCGTTCAATATCATTTAAGAAAACAGATCTCTTTGTTTTTGGTGAGGTTGATAATACATGTGATCTTCCTCTTCCTGCAGATGGTGTTGTGTTTACTTTTACTTCTTTTTCTTTTTCTTCTTCTTCTTCTTCTTTTCCGCGCTCTCTTCTAATAGATGGGGATTGGAAAAATTGCGGTACACTTCTTCTGTTACTCAATCCATTATGATGAATGGATGAGGCCGTAAATGTCTCTCCCTGTTGTTGTTCGTCTTCCATTTGGTTTCGACGATTTAAATAAAAAGCCACTTGTTGTAAAAGTGAAATTAAATTCCCTGAATGTAAAGCGACATCTTCTGGTTGTGGTAATGAAGTGGTATCCTTCTCCTCCACAGTCTGTTCAGTATGGTTGTTATTATTTAGAGAAGATAAGAATAATGGTGGGGATGTTTCTGTATACATCCTACTTCTATTAATATTAGGATTATTATTATTATCACTCTCTTGTGGATTTCTTAAATCTTCCGTTGATTTTCTTATCTTATCCTTATCATCATTTTGAAAATAAATCAATAATATAAGTTTTATACTCTCCACACCATAATGATCAAACCATTGAATAAATTGTGATAAGGCATGAATAACACCAGGCATAATATTAGTAACAACATCATGTAATAACCATCGTCGTCCCTTTGCAGACTGCGGTGTAATGGCAAATAATCTTTTCATTCGACGACTATGGGCTAAAGCCTCCCGACGTGTAAACTGAAGAGCTTCTATTGTCAAATCCATATATGAAATATAAAAATAAAATAAATCCTCTTCCTGTAAATCATTTATAGACCATGAACGTAAATGATTACCATGCAAACGACCAACACTTCCACGGTTCATTAACGATGGTTGTTGTTGTTGTTGATGTAATTGTAATGGTTCTCCATAAGAAGAAGAAGAAGAAGAAAAAAAGTTGGAGTTGTTGGTATTTTTAGTTGCTTGTAAAAGTTTCGCTATTGTTTGCCGGACTTCATATTTTCCTTGACGTCGCACCATTCCCTTTTCACCCGTCGCCTCATACACAACCGGTAAACGTTTACACTTTGACATTATACGCTTTTCATAGAAGTGGGCAAGATCTAAAAAAAGATTTAAGGAACGATGAAAGCGAAGGAATATTTGAGCCTCCTGATGAGAAAGAGGATGTGCCATTTGAGCAGAAGAGGTATTATCTTGATTACTATTGATATCATTACTATCATTATATGGATGAGATGTAGTTTGATGATGATGATGAGGAGGATGATGAGGAGGATTCCTGTTAGGATTGTCATTATCATTATTATCATCATCTTCAGACCATGCTGCTGTAGCCTTTGATGTGTTAAGAACACCTTCGCGAGGATTCCGTGGGGCTGGAGATAACATTGATGTTTCTTCTCCTTGTTGTTGTTGAGATGTATTCTCTGTTCGTTTGTTTGTATCTACCAAGTATTCATTATAGTAACGATGCGGTTTCTTATTATTAGATGGAGAAGTTTGTAGAGAAGGAATTGCACTTCCTGTTGTTATTTCTTTCTCTTCTTTTTCTTTTCTTTCTTTTCTTCTTGCTGCTGCTGCTGTGGTAATGGGGGGAGTGGTAGTACTAGTATAACTCACATCTGTATTCTCTACCATTCCACGTAAAGCCGCAGTAAAGTTTAACGCCGTTGCCGCATTTTCACAGGCAAACTTAAATGTATAATGAATCGCATAACTTAATACAATAAAGGTGAGTCGCTGTTGACGATATTCATCCGATGATAATAATAATAATGATGATGATGTTAACGCGGTTTGAATTCCACTCCCTTCTTTCCACTCACCATGGCGCATCCCAACATGACTTCTATCCTCACTATAATTATCATGACTATTATTATTATTATTATTATTATTATTATTATTATTATTATTATCATTATTATTATTATTTCTACTACGAGTTCTTTCATAGGAACCAACCGATAGTTGTTGTTTCTCTCCACCGCTATTCCATCGCTCTTCCTGCAGTCTGAAGAGATCATGCACGGCCGTACGTGATGGACGGTCTGGTGATTCCCACACAACTCCATCCACTGCATTTATTCGCACTCCAGTCACATCTACTACAGGGAATCCAATAGCCACAACCGCCGCCGTTTCTCTCGCATAATCAGTAGGATCAACTCTACCCTTAATAATAACACTATTATTATTATTATTATTATTATTATTACTATTACTCAAGTACGATAGTGAAACAAGATTTAGATTAGAGATCAATGCACGACGCACCTGTTGTGCCTCACTATGATGATTGCAGAATTCTGATGCGAGTAATTGTCGCCCTCGTGGATCCTGCGCCAGTGCGAGTCCAAATAATAATGCCAACTCCACTGTCAACATCAGTGCCGCTTCATCTATACAGCGATGAGTTTCGTGTTCTTCTGCTAATCGCACACTCACCTCCAACAAACGTGAAATAGAAGGAATGTGTTGAATAAGATAAAAACCCGCATAGCGATAAAATGGGGCATATTGAATAAGTAATCGTAAACAACGAGCAGCAAGACAGGCTGTAGAAGTAGCAATAGAGACTGTAGGAGGTGTTGTAAGAGTTGTTCTTTTTTCACTCATTCCCCTACGAGAACGTCCTCTCTCTTGCATATAAGGTTCTTGTTGATGGTAGTAGTGATTATGTTGATGATGATGAGATTCTGAAACTTCACGGTGTGTCTTCTCAGTTTCACGTTGGAAACGAAATAATGGTGGACGATCACTATTATTATTATTATTATTATTATTATTATTATTATTATT